CCAGTGTAATTAAATGGACAAAAATGATTATCCAGTAAGGACAGTTATCTTGTTTGCTTACTTTAATAGTTTTGATAAATTTGAAAATTTTTAAAGTAGAAATGTAATATGTAAAAGATATGAAGATAAGTATTTCTAAAAGTTTTGGGACCCATTTTAATTTGGGAAATGTCAAGCATTCCATATCCTCTCATGCTGTTCTCTTGGTTATAGGGTAAAGATAGAATTATCTTAGGAGTCACCAGCTTAGGGTTTTTCTTTAGCCCTCTGAAGTGAGCTTTTCGACAAGGGGTAAGGGTCAGGGGAATGTAAGTTGCTCTTTCATTGTTGTACTCCAGGATATCCTCATAAGCTATCATTCCTTAATTTCAAGTTCTTTCACTAATCAGGTTGTGCCAGGAACCCATGCCATTTGCTTATCTCTACATTTGAAGTCTCTCATTTTGACCCCATGTTTTTCTTACTAATATTTTCTATTTTTGCTCCCATTTAAAGGTACAACCACTGGTTTGATGGAATGGCTTTACTTCACCAGTTCAAGATGGAGAAGGGCACAGTGACATATAGGAGCAAGTTTCTACAGAGCGATACATATAAGGCCAACAGTGCTCGTGACCGAATTGTGATCTCAGAATTTGGCACACTGGCTTTCCCTGATCCATGCAAGAATGTTTTTGAACGTTTCATGTCAAAATTTGAGCTGCCTGGTAAGCAGCCCTTAACATGCCCATAATTTACAGGTGATAGTGATGATTCTTTAAATTATTCTGGTATATGACAATCTTTATAAATATAAATCTTGAAATATATATTTCTTGGTATGAGAGGATGTTTAAACTGTTTTCTCCCCCTGATTGTGTGCTTAGGGCCTGCTACACTAAGTTGTGGCGCTTAAATAACTTGGGTTTGGTTTCAGCAATGACTGACAACACCAACGTCAACTATGTGCGGTACAAGGGTGATTACTACATTAGTACAGAAACCAACTTTATGAATAAAGTGGACATTGAAACCCTGGAAAAAACAGAAAAGGTAAAATACA